TGCGTTGCCCGGAAATAAAGCACTTAGTTTTTGTGACCACTGGGTTGAAAGAAAAATACCCCAAAAAACCATTTTATTATATCTATCTATCTAATCATATCTATCTATCTATCTATCTATCTATCTATCTTCATCTATCTAATCTATATATCTAGCTATCGGATCTTCTATCTATCTATCTATCTATCTATCTATCTATCTTATCTACTCTATCTATCTATTATCTATCTATCTATCTATCTATCTATCATATCTATCTATCATATCTATCTATCTATTATCTATCTATCTATCTATCTATCTATCATATCTATCTATCTATCTATCTATCTATTATCTATATATATATTATATATCCTTCTCTCTCTCTCTCTCTCTCGTCTTCTCTCTCTGTTCTCTCTCTCCTCCTCCTCTCTCTCTCTCTCTCGTGCTCTCTCTCTCTCTCTCTCTCTCTATATACTATATATATCAGGCCAGTGTAGATAGATAGGCGACCCTATTATCTACTTCCTGATATATATACTGCATGGCGTGACGTTACACAAGAAGAGTGAGGAGTGGGAATGTATTTGGTATAACGTCGTGACGTCACGTTATACGGGCGAGAAGACGGCGAGCAGGAGAGAAGAGTATCCGTGCAGAATGATCGGGTCGACGTAAGGACAATAACCAAAGGCGAACTCCAGAAAGTACACGGCACACGATGGATCTGTTATTCGAGCTCAAACGCAGAATGCAAGCAAACGCGGAGAAGGCTCGCACAGACGCGCGTGACTGATTCCTGGCCTAGAATTCTCTGCCCCGACATGAGGTCGTGCGGACCCTATTTTATCCTCTACCCTCGCACCTGCCCCTAGCGCACGCTGTTCCGCGCGACATGATATCGGTTACAAAACACGTTGCCAATTATTACCGATAGTTTCTCTCTCTTTACGGACCGGTGGGTGATTGGGGCGCCGTAAAAGCCATTTCGATTCGCCTGATTCGGTTATATTGCCCTACGACTCTAGTTTAGTAATACGGACCAGCATTTGAGTGACACGCGTCCGATGTCTTGCAGGCTGGCTAGAGTACCCCCTTGTGAGCGCCGTGCTGCTCGCGGTATAAGCACATCTACAATATATGTATTTTATTCAGGTATACATATTGCTCGCTACCACTATCTACCGTGGATCGTATCTATCTATCTATCTATCTATATTCATATCTTAATCTATCTATCTATCACTATCTATCTATCTATCTATCTATCTATCTTACTATCGTCTCTTCTATCGATCTATCGATCTAATCTATTTATCTATTGTCTATCATATCTAGTCTATCTATCTATCTATCTATCTATCTATCTATCTATCTATCCTATCTATCTATCTATCTATCTATCTATCTAACTATCTATCTATCTATCTATCTATCTATCTATCTATCTATCTATCTATCTATCTATCTATCTATCTATCTATCTCTCTCTCTCCTCTCTCTCTCTTTATCTATCTATCTATATCTATCTTCTCTATCTATCTATCCATCTAAATTTATCTATCTATCTATCTATCTATCTATCTATCTATCTATCTATCTATATCTATCTATTCTATCTATCTATCTATCTATTTATCTATTCTATCTATCTATCTATCTATCAATCTATCTATCTATCTACTACAGTACCAAGTCAGTGCAAGCTAATCCTGTTTGGACAATATGTTGCTGCAGGGGCCCGTTCATCGTTTTTTCCGTTTTTTTCCTCCTTGCAACTTCAGATGACCTCGGAGGTCAAATCCAATGTGCCCATGACACTCAGCATCAAAAGTTACCCTACTGAACTACACCCTATTTCTAGAGTGCTCCATATTGCATTTCGCTATTGAGAACAGACAAACAAACAGACATACATTCACAAATATGCATTAGATATGCTTATCAGCGTAGTTTGCAATGAAATCTAAAACTCCGTGATCATAATGTGTAGGGTAGTAGTACCTAATTGTAACTTGGTTGATTATGAAATGCATCATACCTTTTGTAGGTCGTCCAAACGTCTCGTTTTATCGCGTTTACTCTTATTTTTTACTCTTGAATCAATTGCAGCAAACACTTAACAATTGTGTATTTCTGTTTCCCTGTTTGAGGGTTTATTGTAACTGTACATTGTTAATTCGCACTGTTCTATTAATTAATTAATTAAATTGAATTTCTTCCAATTGTACAGATGATTACAGTTTGTTTTTATTGAAGTTGGCTTTTTCGCTACTACTCTGTGTAAGATTGTTTTCACGATTTCGTCAGCAGACAATGCTGGACAAGACGAGAAGCCAAAAAAATTGGCCTGGAGATTTGCAGAACGAGAGAAAGAGCGAAAGAGGAGGGTTAGAGGCTAAACGCGGGATATAATAATAGGATTAGGAACGAGAAGTGCGGCAGTGCCGAAGGGGAAGAAAAATGGAAGGCGATGATGTGAAAAGGAAAAGACGGACGATAAACGGAATATAAGATTGCCAAGGGATGTCGCGAGCGATTCGCGGGGAAGCTGGGTGCATCTACGTACATAATTATACTATGAATTCTGAATAGTTAAATAAGTACTTAAACAGTTCATCGGGAATAACTACATGTCTTGTACTATATTATACATTTATTGATTTAATTTGATATGTTTATTAGTTACTGACGCATACCTTGCAAACAATGTCATGTGCCACTTAAATGAAAAATGTATCTCGAAACAGAAATTCATTTAACCATGGTTGTCATTTCATATTAACTTCCTATATTATTATATATTACATTATATTTATAATTATATTATAATTATATTATATTATATTATATTATATTTATAAATAAATATATTATATTATATTTATATTATATTATATTATATTATATTATATTATATATATATTATATTATATTATATTATTTATTTATTATATTTATTATATTATATTATATTATAGTATTATATTATATTATACTATATTATATTATATTATTGTATTATTATATTATCATATAAATTCTTTAATAAAATTATTAATAAAATTTTTAATATATACGTCTTTATATTAGACTAATACTACCAGGAGTAAGATAATATAGGTTAATAATAACATAGTATAAATAGTAAGTAAGTAATGCATAGTATAGTTAATAATAACATAATATAATAATATAGGTTTATAATAATAGATAATAATAATCTATATTATCTTACTCCTGATACTACTAGTACTACTACTAATATATAATACTTACTTAATTATTACACAAACTTAAATTAATAATAATTTATATAGTTAAATAAAAAGTTTAGAGTTTTTAAGTTTAATTATAATAATATAATAATTATAAGTATAAGTATAATTATAATTCAATAATTTAATATAATATATTAGTTTTTATTTATTAGTTTAATAATAATAGTTAATAGTTATTTTAATTTATAAATCATTAATGAAATAAATTCATTTATATTATTACGGTCTACCATACAGCAGTAGCATTGATTAGGTTGCATGTGAATATTGTTAATGTGTAAAGCGATCTTCATTAATTTGTACACAATGATTAATCTGCCTGTTGTTTTCTTATATCTCGGCAGCTTCTGCTTCTGAATCCAGCTTTCGATTTAATGTGAGCGCGTACACCGGTGCTTGGAATAAAAATCGACGTCTTCGTATGTTTACAGGCTCTGGTCGACTCGGCACTCACAGGCATAATAATAGGATTGAGCTTCGCGGCTCTTTTTCTTATACTGGGAACGCAGAATATTATCGTTGGTCTGCTAGCAACGCTCTGCATTGTCGCCGTTACGGTCACGGTCGTGTCCACGATCCCGATAGCAGGATGGAAGGTGGGGGTAAGTGTGTCAAACTATGTGTGTGTGTGGGGGGCGCGCACGTGCGTGCGTGCGTGCGTGCGTGCGTGCGTACGTGCGTGTGTGTGTGTGTGTGTGTGTGGTGTGTGTGTGTGTTATTATTATTACTATTATTATTATTTTATGTATAATATTATATAATTATGTGTTCATTGTCCATGGTTGCTATAATCAACATCGTCGTATGGCCACGTTTGACCACATACTTCATCTCTCTGACGCACAATCTTCTTTTTTTATAATTTCAGGTTCAGGAGTCGATCAACTTGTGTCTCATCGTCGGTCTGGCTGTCGACTACATCGTGCACCTGGCTGAGGCGTATCACGTGGCGCCCTCACCGGACCGCTGCGACCGCGTGCGCTACATGCTCAAGACGATGGGCAGCTCGGTGCTGTCGGGCGCCTGTACGACACTCGGCTCGTCCGTATTCATGCTGTTCGGGCAGATTAACTTCTTCATGCAGTTTGGCATGTTCGTGTTTGCTACGATCTTCTTCTCGATCTTGTACGCGATGGTCTGCTTCACGGCGCTCCTCTCTCTGTTCGGTCCGCAAGGAGAATTTGGCTCCACAGCATCGGTGATTAAATTGTTAAAGAAGCCGTTTGTTGGGGTGAACAATCGCAAGGTCGATTGCGTTTTTTGCCATGGTAAAGGTTACTTGAAACCGATCGGTGCGATTTCGTCCCAAGCAAGTCGTTCATCGGAGGGATTAGAAAACAATGGTTATATAAAGGATGGTAAGGATCGAGACTCGTGGCCCCACGAAAATAACAACGCCCTTCAGCAGTACATTAAGCCTTATAATGTCGGACTTCGTTAGGGAGCTAGTGACAAGTGCGGTAGAATTCAATGTCAACGTCTATGCGAACTCTGCGGGCGTTCGAGCGCTCGTGTGAGCGTGCGTGCGCGCGTGCGTGCGTTCGTATGTATCACACCAGTCCTCTTATTGTGGTTATTATTAAAACATTCATAACTGCTAGCAGTTAAAGGGATTTATCACTTCGTTAAATCATATACTTTGTTTATGCTCCAATGCTTCAAAAAGCACTTGCTGGCTATTAACCCACAGCCCAGCGGGTGAAGTGAGCCTTTATAGTTATAGTTATTCCTCGTAGGTGCCTAGATGGCACATAATTGAGATCTCCGACATCGTCTGTCCGCTGCTACTGGCCTCAGCGTGTCCCGTGACAAGTCACACATCCGCATCTCCTTCTCGATGGTCCTTCTCCAGGTCTCCTTTGGTCTTCCCCTTCTTCTCCTCCCGTCTGACGTCCATCTAAGTGCCGTTGTCGTTATGGCACCTACTTCCATCTAAGTGCCGTTGTCGTTATGGCACCTACTTCCATCTAAGTGCCGTTGTCGTTATGGCACCTACTGGCTTTCCATCGGGACGACATTGACCGAGCCCTGACCTAATGCACCTTCTTTTTTTAATTATATTTATAGTGAACCTATCATGTTATTGCTTAGGTATAGTAGTTATAAGTCATATGGTGTTAATATTTTCAAGTCTATGTGCTCATGTATACATACGCAGAGATAGACGCACGTACCTAGAATCATGTAATTGTCTCCTTACTAATTCTCTTTTTTAATTATTATATTTGACGCTGTTTGTAAGACGTGATATTG